AAAACATCAGTACGGAGATTACCACTTAATATCTCACTGAATTTTTTAAAGCTATAGTAATCTTTGGGTATATCAGGCAGTTCTTGATGTTTTAGTGTTGTACCACTTGTAAATTGGAGCTTGAATGGATGATCACATGCCTTGAACTGTCCTTCATTGCACAGTACTTTGAAGTTTTGCATCACATAAGTTTCATTTTCTTTGAGCTTTGACTTCCAGGTTAGCACCTCTGCATTTCTTGCAACCGCCTGTATCTTATATCCCTAATTTATGAGAATTGTTGATAAGTTATTAATCACTTTAATTGTTAGAGCATTTAATTTCATTTAAGCATTAAAAAATAAGATAATCAGACCTTTGCGTCCATTAACACCATTTCAATGAACTTCGAAGGAGTGTGGACAGAACAAAGTGATATAACCCTCACTGCAATCTTTCATGTCTCTTTGGTGTCATTGATCTCTTCAATGGTGCTTATTTTTTGTGCCATATTGATGGGACTAATGCACATTTAAACACAAAGAGTCATATTAGGATAAACATATTGACTATAAGTAGTCCTCTATTTAGAAATATAATAGCATTTAAAAAAATCTATTGACAACATTAACACTATAGATACTCAGAAACAGCTCAATATGCACAATTACAGAAATTTAGGATCAATTCAAAATGTGTTTCAAAAAATGAGAATGAGTGCCATGAATGTAGATAACATTCTAAGAATAAATGTGTGGAGAGATTTTTTATACATTAAATAGCTTGTATCCATTTATAATATTCTGATGTTGATACATTAAATTTTTTGTCCATGGCATTGTTTATCTGAAGCTAATTTGCAGGTTAATTAGCAGGTTAATTTCAGCTTGTTGTTTATTTTATTTATTCAGCCATAGATGAATCGGAAATAAAAACATGCAGTAATTAAACATGGAGTAAGTACAATGAGATGTACTTTTTTATGCAAGGAGCAATGAGACTACAAACAAAAGTAAAAGTAAAAACTCACTTAAGCATTTCATCAAAAATCTTACATGTAGAAAAGTAAAAGTAAAAACTTTATTTAATTAATGCTATTAACAAAAAAACACAGTTAAAAAAATACAGAACACAAACAGAACAAAATAGTACAGTTCAAAGCCTGACCTGTTATAGAAGTAGCCTGAAACATTGATTTGTTAAAAAGGTAACAGAACTGAAAATATAGTAAGAGAACATATATACACAACTGGACATGTTCCTACTGCTATTCCTAGCATACCATTTGTTGAGCATAACATGAAGATTAATATAGTTATTTGCTTTACATCAATACTTCTTTGTCTTATTGGTTTAAGATTCTTGAGCATAAAAGGAAGTACTGAGAGAAAAAGAAAAAGAATAGGGCATGTAATGCCTCATAAAAGGCAGTTTCATGGCAGCCACATTAGCACTATGAAAACTCATGAATCAAGCAAGAGTAATTAATTTCTCAAACTTCTATTTGCTGCCTAAGAGAACAATAAGCTAAAAGGGAAAAAGTATAGGACATGTAATGCCTAATAAAGTTTCATGGCAGCCACATTAGTACTATCAAAACACCTTTTCACGCCTAAGCCCCGCCTAAGCCCGCCTAGGCTCCAAAGGCTTAACACTTGGTCGTGCCGCCTCGGCACGCCTTACGCCTTTTAGAACATTGCCTTCATCTCAATTTTTCTTGTATTATGAAATACTCCTTCCGTCTCATTTTACATGTTTTATTTTTCCTTTTGAATTGTCCTAAAATAAGTGTCACATTTCCCTTTTTGAAAAGAAATATGTGTTCCACAATATTTCACTTTATTAAACTCAAATCTCAACTACAACTTTTACCTTTTTCAATCATTTTATTAATAATTGTGCCAAACACAAATGAGACACATAAAATCGGAGGGAGGTAGTATTAATTTGGGAATAAACATACAGGTGGGCGTAATCCAACTGGTAGCAAGGGAGTGACACAAGAATAAGGTCCTGAGTTCTAATCCGTCAACTGTGATGAAAGGTGACTAAATGCTAGGGCCTCTGCAACTACAGAGGGTAGAGCTCCACTCTGTATCTGTCAGATTAGAATTATAGTCCAATTCACATTCTTCTCCCACCCAAAGTCCCGGGCCCCGAGGGATGGGTGTCTTCTTTTTTTTTTGAAAAAAAAAAACATGTTGTCTATGAGCCTATGAGTCTATGCTCACAATTTAACAATGGTGAGGAGGAGGTTTTTGTTGTTGCTGAAACCTCTTGACGTGTACCCATCGCACTACTCCAATGGCCATCTCACTTCACACTTCACGAACCCTAAGGTAATTCCATATATGCCAACAAATTTAAACTCATCGACGAATCCTTTGCAGCTTCACCGTCAAGGTTTTGCGTAAATATGTGTGCATTCATTACGTGTTTGACAATATGCCAAAGCTATGTGGATGGGGATTGCGAAATCCCCAGAGTTAGAGTTCTTTACTGGAGTTGGTTTTCTGAAAATCAGCTAATTGAATTATACCATATGTTTTATAAATCCCTCACGTTTGTGGAACCTAAAGTAAAAAAAACAGGCGCTGTTTGGTAGCTCTGCTCACCCATTTGGCTGAAATCGATGCTACAAAACTTTTTTCCTTTCAGAAAATTCAGCAGCCATTTTGGTTGAATAACCATGACCAACGGGGGACTTATGCAGGCAGTTGCTAACTTGTATTTCGATGAGTTGCTAACTTGCTAACATTGCTCAATTAAATGCAGATACTTAAACATCTAGATAACAGGAGACTAGTTCACAGAGATGCTATAAGTTTCTGCCAGAATGTGTTGAGGAAAAAGTTTATTGACTGCGTCTCTGTCTCCCGTCATGAGTTGTCCCAGCCAGTCCACGATGTGGATCTAGTTCTTACCATTGGTGGCGATGGCACATTATTACAGGCAAGCCATTTTTTGGATGATACAGTTCCTGTTCTTGGAGTGAACTCTGACCCAACTCAACCAACAGAGGTCAGTTTCTGATTTGATATTCACAAGGGGTCCATGGATTTTGTTATCATTTTTAAGCCTTTTGATTGTTTTTGTAAATTAATCTCTTGATGACCTTTTTGCTACAAAAGCTTGTCGTTCCAAGCAGGTGGAAGAATTCAAAGAAGATTTTGATGCTACAAGGAGCACCGGCTATCTTTGTGCTGCCACTGTTGATAACTTTGAAGAAGTAATACCATTTACTCCAAAGTATCTTCTCTTTTTTGGCTTTCGACGGTTTGTTTTCATGACTTGGATTTCTATCCTAAAAGATCAAGTAAAGTAGTTTAGGAGTAGTCCAAAAATTCTATATGCTTGCTTGTAAATTTATATTTGACTGTTGATCATTTATTGGGCCTTCCAAAAGTGAAAAAGTCATGTCTAATGAAAGTACAACATTTCAATTTTAACAGGGTAGTACTCTTTAAAGTTATGGAATTCTAGTAAAGAAAATTGGTTGTTTGTTTGGCTTAATTCGTATTAATGATTATCTTGTTTCTGTTTGATCAAATATGACTCTCATTTGGGACAAAAAGACACTTTTTGCAAAAATCATATTTTGGAACTGGGGTATTTGTTTCAATCCTTTCAGGGTATCAGACATACTCAACTCAATGAAAATTGATAATCTTTTTTTTTAAATAAGTATCGCGAATGCAGGTATTAGATGATATTCTTGAGAACCGTTCCAAGCCTTCTGAAGTGTCGAGGATGTTAATTTCTCTCAACTCCCAAAACCTGCCAACTTATGCTCTTAATGACATTTTAGTTGCCGAACTTAGTCCTGCCACAGTCTCAAGGTTCTCATTCAGGCAAGCATTACAGATAGCTTATTTGTGCCTATGTGGTGGTGCTTAAAGATAGAACTAGTTTGATCAGTTCTCTTAATGCTGAACAGAATAAAGAAAGAGGGATTGCCATGTTCCCCTTTGGTCAATTGCAGATCAAGTGGTTTGAGAGTGTCAACGCCAGCTGGATCAACGGCAGCTATGCTATCTGCAGGTGGATTTGCTATGCCTATTCTGTCAAAGGACCTCCAATATATTGTGAGGGAGCCCATTTCTCCTGGAGTAAATCGTGGATTCATGCACGGAATTATAAAGCCACATGAGCTGATGGAGATTCAGTGGCAATGTAAAGAGGGAATGATATGCATTGATGGGTCCCATGCCGTATATCATCTCCAGCTTGGGGACATAGTTGCACTATCTTCTGCAGCTCCCATTTTGAAAGTCTTTTTGCCTAAACATTTGTTATCATGAGATGTGGATAATATTCTTACTGACAAAATTGATTCTCTATAATAGAAGCATAATTTTCTGCATTCTGCTACTCCATCCAATTTTTTTTATTTCTTGACACGTTGGATATTTAATGGAGCGAATGCCTTCTTTAGTCACTTGATTGCATAATATTACTCAATATGGTCTTGGACTTTCTTTTGGGCTTATAGATATGTAGCCCCCAAAATGCTTAGTTAATGACCAAATAAAGTCCATAATAGAATTTGGGGACTATTGAGTAATAGGCTAGTGGCAAAACTAACCGGGTAAAATATCATTTTATTTATGTATTTTCCTGTGTAATGATAGCATCTGCATATTAACTGCACCACCAAATGTCCAAATATATGCAATTATGCATACATCAGAAGTGGAATTTCAAGTATGCTACAATTGTAATATTGTAAATGCCTCTTTGTTATGTTTTTGTTTGTTCAAAAAACAGAACAGATTCTAGGAACTTTTCTTAGGACGTCACACACCTTTCTATTAGTGAAAGAACAATAAATCAAGAAAAATATCATAAAATAGCAGCTATTTTATGATATTTTTCTTGATTTATTGTTCTTTCACTACTAGAAAGGTGTGTGACGTAAAGTAGAGATATTTAATAGCTTCATTTAAATTGTTCTCGTGAGGAGGCAATAGATTAAAATTATTTTCATTGATATTATATTACTATTATTTTCATCATCATTGTCATTGCTATAACTATTAGGGAGTATAATTGTTATTGGGTGAAGTGTAAAGACAGGAATGTCACACGTAAAGTAGAGATTTATGAAAATAGTTGCAGCTGGCGGAGACCTATGTTAGGCCTCTTTATTGGTGAAATGATGAGGTTTCTGATTATCATTGATGGGTTGCTACCCACAGTTCTAGGGCCAAACACTGGACGAGCACCAGTGGTGTTTCTAGCATCCATTGAAATTCCTGGTTGTTTTGCGGTGGAGTCGCTTGATATCTCATAGGGGCCAGAGTCACTAGCATGTTGTCTTGCTGGAGGTGGCCATATACCTTCTCTTGGTCCAGGTGTGTCAGGAGTTGAAACTGACCACTCTGCATGAAATATAACTCAACTAGTCTTTAACGATATATGTATCACATCACTAGGCGTAGTAGTACGCTGAAACAGAAAGGAAAACTAATGTCAGCATCTTGAAACAGAAAGGAGTTACCTTTTCTGATAGGATCTCTGTAATGTGTCATATTAGCAGGATTTGAGAAGAGATTATTAGGGTTCGTTCTTGAATAACACTTAGGAGCAGGACGAATGGCTGTCCGCTTCACTGATCCATATTTGCTGCTCAATTCATCGTACATCTCTTCAAGTTTTCTCCTTTGTCTGCCAGTACAGTAAGCAAGTCACAAGTTAGCAAACAAATATGGTCACATTGAAGATAGATAACACAAATATGTACGTAGTATATGCTTAATAATATAATGCTGAACATAAAAACCCCGCCTGGATTTTTCAGCAAACTTTTCTTGAAGCTCTTTCTTGTCTCTAGACAAATTCTCAACCTCTTGTTCCATCATTTGGCACCTCTTAGACATCTTCTGATATGCCATTTGCATTTGTTCCAACTTTTCAGAGAATTGTTGTTCCATGACCTCACATTTCTGCCTGCACTGAGTTACAATCTTGTTCATTTTAAAATCCATTTCTAATTCCTTCTGTCCAATGTAGAACGCCACACTTCTATAAGCACTCTCCATCACTGATCATAGTCAAAGATAAATAAAAATATCTGAAATATTGAATTTGATAAAGAAGATGTGAGGCACGCAAGCAACAATTGAAACAAAAAGCCTGTTTAGGGCGACATGTACTTTTATAAGAAGTGCTTTCTGATCTAAGCATTAAAGGTACTTTTCTTTTCCAAAAAGCACCGATCCATTGCTTATTTAAAATCACAAAAGTGAGACTTTTCCAGCTTTGAAAACCTATTTATTTCATTGGCAAAAGCTTCTTATCTAAGTAAAAGCACTTTCTTCTTATAAAAAGCACTTATTCTTTAAGGATACACATTTGCGGTGCCACCCCAACAATGGCCATCTGCATCAGAGTGAAAGGGAATCAAGACTTCAGGGGTATTTTGGATCTAATGGCTTATAAAATAGTAAAAATGGATACTGGATAGAGTTACTGATGTGATGACAGGCAGGCAGGTCATTAGAATAAGTCCAGTAGCCCGTAAGAAACATAAATGTTGAGAAAGCACATGGCATTTGAAGGATGATGATAAACTGACGAAATAAAAAAGGATCTCTTTCATAAAGCTTTCTTACATTTATCCAATCTTCACTTGGGTTGATATCTACAGGCTTCATGAGACTGAGGATAAAAAATTGCATCAAGTTAATAATAAAAAGATCCAATCTAAACTTATCAGAACAATCATATAGCATGAAGGTGGGAAAAATGAGCATTCTTTTAAGTACTCGTAAGTTTGCAAAAATGATAAAACACAACAATCAAAGAATTATCTGCATTTATTACAAATCAAGTATAAGAACTTGCCTTTTAGAGAGGACTTGACTACATATAGGGCAAGCAGCATCAGTACTGAGAATTTTATCGGCATCTTCTGTACCTAATAGTATGGTTTAAGGAAATCTATACCGACGACGAGTCTCAATGCATAAACTGAGGCATGGATACATATGTGAGCGTGTGAGTACAGACATATGTGGCTTGGATACAGAAGATGTGACCACATGTGGTGGAGATGGCTTGCCCTTCCAATTCTCTCCAGCATGCATTGCACCTCATTTTAACCACCAAAATATATGACACAACTCACTTTGTCTAATGGATCCTGATAAATAAATTGTGTGCTAGGAACAACAATCCATGTTACATAAAGATCGCAAGAACTGAGATACAAGAAACTAATCAGAACATCAAGGCATGCTCTCTGTGTTAGAGTCATCAATTGTAAATGCAGAATTATCAAAAGAACAATGATCAAAGCTATCAAAAGAAAAATTAAAGTTTCTCCAAGTGACAAAACTAGCACCTCTAAATCTCAAACGGACCTTGCTTGTTTGCATACTACATTGAAAATATTATTCGTTCCAAGGAAATCAAACACCTAACAAACCAGATGAGAGCTTAACATACACGCTTAAAAATAGAAATGATCAACACAGCTGCATGGAGAAGTACCTTAAATCAGGAAAAAAATCGATCAGTTCGCACAGATCGTTAATAAGTTTCAAAGGAATGTCAATCTGAACTCATGAGGCAGGCGCAACCGAAATTCGTAGTATTTTGAAACCGTAAATGAAAAAACGTATACTTATGAGGTCAAAGTGGAGCTCGTAGATATCGATATTACAATCAACAATCTCTTTGATAGGCACCGAATGAGGATTCCAAGTCCCCGATCTGAAAGATGGTGTTCTTATGCTTGGCTACAGTTTATGTATGTTTCGGAAAATTTGAAAACGGCGACCTAAATATGCATTGGGGGAAAAGGTATACACTATACAGGAAGCATGCCTCAGTTAGCTCTCTGCTGGTGAAAATTTGTATCAGAAAAGTGACGGATGGCGGCAAAAAGAGGAGGAATACGAGAAAAAGTAACAAGTTTTCAATTTTAGAAACAAATTCTCTCCCTTCTCTATTATAACTTCTAACTTTCTTTTTTCCTCCGTTCCAATTAAAATTTTCACTTTCCTTTTTTAATAAATAATTTGTTGTTCACAATATTTCTTACACATTTCTCTCTTCTGCATATCTCTCCACCACACAATATCCACTATCTTAAATTGTGTGCCAAACATATTTGGAAGATAAAATAGGAACGGAGGAAGTAACATTTTTAAATAACAATTTAATCATCAAACATTAAAAATAATATATTTACAACATCACAATTATCATCAATAACTCATGATATTACACCATCAAAAAAACTCATGATATTGTATAGTCATAACAAACTATTTTTCAAAATATATTTGAATTAGCATATTTAATTATTTAATACATTCCAGGTAAGGGTGAGCATTCGGTCGGTCGGTCAAATAACCGACCGATAACCGAATAATTGACCAAAGTTTTTTCCTCTCATAATCGACCGAAAACCGTCCGACAACATTACAAAAATCGACCGAAAAATGTCATTCGGTTTCGGTCGGTAACCGAAAACCGATCGAAAACCGATATTTAAATTATTTTTAATTTATGATAACCGAAAACCGATCGAAAATCGATTTTTTCGGTCGGTTCGGTCATCGGTCTTCGGTTAGGTCGGTTGAATCGGTTATTTACTCACCCCTAATTCCAGGATGTTTGTTTCATCACTATCAAAGGATTTAAAGGACATTTGTTAAATAGAAATTGAAAATGAATTGGAAATACAAAATTACAAGCTCTCATCTTCACAATGCACGACTCCAATTTTGTTTAAATTCTCATTTTGTTGTATAGGAAAGGGAATCAGAATTGGCGATTGGAAATTCTAATTATAAAAATTAATTTCTATAAATATTTCTTCTCCTTCTAAAGTTGAAAAAAGTATCTTCTTAATTATTCAGTTTTTTGAAGTTATTGTTTTATAGTTCCTTTGCTAGTATAGAGTTCGTGTATTCTTCCCTAGTGCAACTTATTGAGCGTTGAAATTTTATTCTTGGTGATTGACAATGTTTATCCCGCTAGATTTTTTATGGAGGTTAACTTCAACCATGGATGACTTTGAGGTCTCAATTATTCGTCTTCCTCATCAATCACCACCATGTTATGAGAAAAAGATAGTCAGTTAGATTTCTTTTCGATGTCTGGTGAAACTGATATTGAACATTTATTCCTAATAGTTGGTCAACAAAGAATTCTAGCTATTTCTCTCGGGATGGTTGGACAAACTAGATTTTTTATTATTTTCTTGGTGAAACCAATTTTGTGTTGGTTGTCTAACATTATGAACAATAGTGATGTCAAATTTCTAATTCCAAATAATGATGAAAGTTTATGTGATTATAAATAAATGTTGTGTATAGAAATTTGTCCAATTCCATAGCATGTATTGTTCTACTTCAATGTATATTGAATTTATTTTATGTCTTGGCCATGTTTAGCTTTGCGTTATAATTGTACATTATACTATTATAGTATTGCACAATTGTCACTTATTCATTTATAGTCACATCATATCATTTTTACTGTGGTATACCATTTTTATTACTATGTTACATTTTTATTATATAAACTATTAATAATTATTTTGAAATATATAGTACTATGTTACATTTTTATTATATTGAGAAACTTCTATATTGATAGCTCATAGCTAGAAGGGTCTACATCTATGTGGAGTTAGCAAATTGTTATATTCCTTTAAAAAAATTCGGTTTTATTTTTCATTTACTTGTAGCTTTAAACTATCTAAATTAGTTTTGTACTGTCATATATGTACATGATCACGGGCGCAGCCAATGTGGTTAGGACCCAGGGTGGTCAATGACACCCTTTGAAAGATAAAAAGTGATGTTTGAACTCACTCTTATACCCACTTTTATACACACCCATATTTGTGAAGGTTTTTTTTGTCGATCAATTCCGTTCACAGATAATATTTTGTTTGTGCAAAATTTGCACAGATAAAATAACTCATATTTTATACAAACATGGGTGGGTATAAGGATAGGTACACCAAGCATTGTTGATGGAAGATTGAGCATGTAGAACACTGAAATATTCCTTTGATATATTATAGCCTTCGTAATTTATTACAAGTAAAAATCATAACTACTGAAAAATCAACATATTTAAACTTAAAATGGTAAAATTTGATGCGCAATATTAGTTATATTTCCAAATTTTTAAAAATAACTTCGCATTCACTCAATATTAACTATATGAATTTTACAATATACATAATCAACAACTCTCTATTTCTTGTTTGAACCGACCTTTATTGCACCTATAAATGAACTATTTAACTCAAATATTGTCTTGCAATGATGCAATCTTTCAATATTGTCATGACTAAGTTTTGACTCCTAAGATGTTTTCTGCCTCCACCACTATCCATGATTATACGAAAACTGAATTTGTCTCTAAATTTATCCTGAAAATGTTTCACGTTCAAACAGGGGTGGAGCCGAGAGGGTAACGGTGGTCAGACGACTCCGTTGAAAGTTTGAGAGTATAGAGTCCTGAAATATCTTCGATTTGATATATTATGGCCAACGTAACTCATTACGAGTAAAAAGTTATGACTTCTGGAAAATCAGCACTATCTAAACGTAAAATCATCAAAATTTGACGCAAAATATAGATTATTTTTCTAAATTTTCAAAATAAAGTATAATTCACTCAATACTTACGTGACACGACTCAAAAACAGAGCAAAGATAATTTTATTGCTACGAGTGCTTATTTATCTAAACTGCATATAAAATATTCAACTCAGACATTGTTTAAAAACAATCCACCGTTTTCATTCTATATATAGGTTATGTTTCGACTCCTGAACCGTTTTTCTGGCTCCGCCACTGCGTTCAAATATTCACTTTCAAGTCAATTTGAATGAATACACTACTTTAGCTCTTCTAAAACGACGTCCATACATATATCGTTGTCTTAAACGAACTACATAAACATATCACCTATTTTTGTTTCCTAGGCCTAAAGGTTTTAATGGTTGTACCCTTGGCTGACCCTGTATTAAATTATGCGACTAAATACATGTAATCATGCAAGTCCCTTTATGTTTTTGTTTGATATGGAACTTATATGATGCCAAATTGCAAACAGGGGCAGAGCCAAGGAGGTCGGGTGGTCCGCCAACGTGCTTAAAGTTTGAGAGTATAGAACTCTAAAATATCTTCGATCTGATATATTGTGGTTCTCGTACCTCATTACGACTTACGAGTAAAAGGTTATGACTTCTGGAAAATCAACCCTGTGTAAACGTAAAATCATCAAAATTAGATGCATACTATAGATTATTTTTACAAATTTTAAAAATAGGATATAATTCACTCAATACTTCCGTGACACAATTAAGAAACAAAGCAAAGACAATATATCTTATTGCCACGAATGCTTATTTATCTAAATTGCATATAAAATATTCAACTCGGAAATTGTTTAAAAACGATCCACCATTTTCATTCTGTATAAATGTTGAGTTTCGACCTCGAAGCCGTTTTTCTGGCCCACTGGCTGCCAAATAATTTAGTTGGTCCTTATATGGTGCCAAATATATGATCATGTACATCATATCATAGCAAATTGATCAGCAATCATAATCACATTAACAACAAGTTCCTTCCAAGAAAAGTTAACAGCTTTCACACAAAAGTTTATACACAAGATGACAAGAGATTGGTGTATGATAAAATATTACAATAAATTTTCTTGACAAGTATCACTTCTAATTTCTAAAGCCCCACAATACTTTATCTATGGGTTTAAAGTTTGGATTCTATCTTCAAATTTCACAAAAGACTTTGGTGAATGATTTATATGTCCAGTATTGAAGTGGTTGATTTGTTGAACTAGATCAATCTTGAAAACTTTGTCCTAAAATCTATGAGAATCCAGTTGTTCCTTTCAGCTCTTCCTAGGCAAGTGATGCAATGCAATTCTTCATAGTTTCTATTATGTCTGATGCTGAAGGCCTCAAGCTGGGAGGATCAATGAGGCATAAAGCAGCAAGGGAAGCCATAGCCATAGCTTCTTCAAGCTCATATTCCCCTGATAGTCTCCTATCTACCATTTCAGCAACCTTCGAAACATCTTTCAACATTGGCCCAACTTTCTTTATCAAACTCACATTGTCATTGTGGGATGAAACCACATCAAGACCCGTGATTAGCTCCAACAAGAGAACCCCGAAGCTGTAAATGTCGTTTTTCTTCGAGGATATTCCGGTCCTCAAGTAGTGAGGATCGGCATATCCCGGAGAACCGATCATCCGGTGCTGGGAAGGCGAAGCAGGCGGGAAAACGGTGGAGGAAAATCCCATTTTCGCAGACCCGAAATCGCAGAGCTTGCAATTCATATCAGAATCCAAGAGTATGTTTGATGATTTGACGTCGCCGTGGACGATCTGCATATCACATTGTTGGTGGAGATAGTTCAGAGCTCCAGCGAGCTGGAAGGCGATCGCCGTCCGGTCCTTCCAACGCAAAAAAGACCCTTTTGCCCCGTGGAGATTCTCCTGGAGGGTGCCATTGGGGACATATTCTAGAACCAGAGTTCCTTCCTCGGAGTATCCGAGGATCTTGACGATGTTGTCGTGTTTGATCTTCAGCAAGATCTCCAGCTCCTGCTTGAAGATTCTCTGTAACCTATCACTGCTGCTATCTATGGTCTTGATAGCTGCCAGGGTCAAATCGGGAAATTTCCCAAGATAAACTGTGCTGAAACCTCCATAAGCGATCACGCGGGACCTTGAAAAGTTCGCCGAGAATCTCTCCACTTCTTGGCCGGAAAATACCCTCACCCCCTTCTCTCCTCCCCGCGCGTCGTCAACAACAACATCCACGCGCCGCCCTTCCAAGGCCCGCTTCCGCCTCGCCTTGATTCCCAAGCACAAGAAAAACGCCATAACAGAGAATAGCCCCACCAGACAGAACAGAGCTACACCGACGGTCGGACTTAGAGCGGGGGTTAACGGCAGAATGGCGACGGAGGGTGAGTCGGCAGCTGCCTCCGAAGCGGCGGAGAAGAAAAGAATACAAGAAAATGGAGAAACAGAGTAGGCAGAGAGATCTAAACAGTGTCCTGTATAGCGGTGAGAGTTTGGGATCTCTATCTTCTCAAGGTTCTGATCCTTTTTAATAGTCAGCAGGGTGTTGGAAGCTGGACCTTCCATGGAAACAAGAATAAAATAATATTGGTACAGGTGGGCATAGCTCAATTAGTAAAGAGGAAGTGCGGTTAGGTCCCGACTTCGAATCCTGACAACTACGATGAGAGGTGATTATGCTAAATGCAAAAAATATAGGGTTTTTGTAAGTATCGGGGACAAAGTCTCACTCTCTATTGTCAGATTGTGATTATAGTTCAATTTACATCCTCCTAAAGTACCATCCGATCAGGATTGAAAGTACTCGGGATGGAGCGTAATCCTTTTTTTATTCCGAGTACTTAGGAGTACTCGGAATAAAATATTGGCACATTCAACTACTTCACTCGCAAATTCTTTGTCATGTTTCTACTTCTCCAGTTAGGATGGAGTCTTGGAGTGAACAATTCCATCTTTTGGTGTGAAAGAATAAAACATTGACAAATTTTACTTATTTCGTATTATTTGTGTTCCTTTTTATTTAGGTGTCTTTCATTTTTTTCAGTTAAAGATGATAATAGTTGATCAATTACTTTAATTAATATATTTATGTGAAAGTTAACAATTTTATATTTTTAGGATAACATTTTTTACAAAGAACATTTTATAAGAATTATCATTTTCATATTATCAATAATTATATGCATAATTGTATAATTGGTCCAAATTAGACATTGTTGACTTGACAAGTCAAATTTAGTTAACTAAAAAGGTACAGATTGAGTTATAATAATGTACTTTGTCTAGACCAATCAAAATACATCCCTAATACGGAGTAAAAAGATAAATCGAAACACAGTAATAGAATTAAACAATTAAACTATAAATAAATGATGAAAATGATGTTATAGGTACAATATACTCCGTAGTTATTTTTTTATGGATATTATAACATACACCTAAAATATTCCTCCAAATATTATTACTTTCATTTGCCAAAAGTAGATACCTAAATTGTTGTAGATTATTCCAAAGTAAGATCACTGGCAAGTGGCAATAACCGACTGCAGGTACCTAACACTAATTACATTCTAACGTCTTTCTTATGTCTTACGTAAATCTTAAATTAATCAATAAAGTAGTCATTATATTCTACATACATTCAATGTTGAGTAGGTGGGATCAAACCTGCAAACTATATAGTGGCATTTGTGTACAACCGAACAAAAATCTATTTATAAAAAAGGATGACACCCCATCCCTGAGGGCTCTCAATCCCGACCGGACGGTACGTTGGGAGGATGTAAGTTGGACTATAATCACAATCTGATAGATAGAGAGTGAGGCTCTGTCTCTGGTACTTACAGAGGTCCTATGCATTTTTAGCATAGTAACCCCTCATCGCAGTTGACGGGATTCGAACCCGGGACCTAACCCTTGTGGCACTCCCTTGCTACCAGTTGAGCTACGCCCACCGGTACAAAAATCTATTTATAGAGTTATATTACGTCTATCCTATTAACATTCAAACATCATGTGACATAATTATTAAGAAAAATGAGTTTATGTAAAGATGATTAAAGTAAAATGATTTATAATAAGAAAAAACTTTATCAAATTTTGTGCGAGACAATCTTACAGGAACAAACAGAAAAGTAAAGATGAGACAATAACAACATTTGTGGTAAATATCTTGTCTTTTTAATATTGATAAATATCTTATTGATAAAGTAGGATTGAAATAAAAAAATTTTAAAAAACACAAATTCTACAAAATTTAGTGTAGCACAATCTTATTGGAGCGGCCAAAAAAAGAAAGATGAGACAAACTTAATAAAATGAAAAAGTGTCATTTTTTACAATTATTTATACACGTGCCATACACATGAAAAAATAGCTTGTTTACTAGGCGCATGAATATGGCATGTATAAGAGCATTTCTAATGTTATAATGTGTACGGTGCACATGTGGCATGAGAAATAGCCTCACAAATATTAGAAAATAAAATATCTATTTCCTTATTTGAATGGTTTTATAAAATTTTGGTAAATTTTTCTCCACACTGTAAAGAAGACCGTCTAGATTTTGACATTGTGATTGACAATGCAGAGAAAAACTAACTAAAGTTGTACAAAATCTTCAAATAAGGAGAAAGATAATTTATTTATTAATATTTAACACGTTGAAAGAAGTGCCTATCAACGTTTTTTTTTTTTTTTGCATTTTGGGTGTAAAAATGTCCATGATTCATTGATTCGAGAGGTCTATGCTAAGATAAGGTCTTCGTTAGGCTGGTCCAGTTTTAACTTTTATCAGAGAAAAACATATCTATACGCCAGTAAAATCATTTCTAAACTTTTACCATGAATTAAATATGCATAATAATATGCATGATCCTCTCCATTATTAGTCAATTGGAAGGTCAATGAAGCAACTGACCAGGTAGTCTTCGATACAGAATGCAGTGCAGAAAGCTCAATGAGCTTTGCTTGAGATTCACACTTTTTGTGTACACACTTTTTACACATGTTCGTGTAAGGTTTTTTTTGTCTGTAACTTTACAATTTTTCAAGCTCAATGGTCACTCATCGAAAATTGTACGTGAATAACGAAAGCCCAAAAACAACATTTTTGGTTCTTGTTTTTTAATATTGGTAAATATCTTTTTTTGGGGAGAATTCTGGCATCCAATTAAAAAATTGGGTATCATACTTATCATTCATTTTATTACTCCAATACATTTTATCATTTTTAATTTTCATTTTAATAACTCAACTACAATATTTTGATTGGTCCATGGACAAAGATATAGTATCTTATAGTATCTTATAACTTAAGCAAGATACAAAATGATAAAAAATCATATATCTACTGTTTGTTCTCGAACCACACCCTCGTAGAATCAATGAGATTTGCTGATCCTGTAATGTGCTTCACTGAACCAATGATAGACAAACCAAACTTCTCATCACCTATTTTAAATTCTAGAATTTTTTGCTAAAAAACAAAGCACAATCAAAACAATGCAATTCCAAATAAAATCACAACAAAATAAAACGGAATTATTAAAACATAGTTCAATCATGGACTCATTTAAGATGGATCATTTAATTTTACGTCAAGCCAGTTTATGCTAAGAATGAAAACGGAAAATCTCTGTTTTCATCTACTCCGTATTTTACTTCAAAATAATTTTATGATGGATCATTTATTTTACGTTGGGTTAGGGCTTGATAAATCTAACATATTTGAGCTCATAATATTTGGCTCCGCCATAAAATGAAAATTTGAATAAGTTTTGAACTACAACAAAAGAAACTATGAAAATAATAAGGAGAAATGAAATTTAATAATCTGACCTTTACCCGGTCTTCATTAAACGATCTGTTTTATCGAAAATCTATTAAAAATCTCACGTTTGTCTATCATATTCCGTAATCAGTCCCAACATGAGATATACCGGATGCAGTACATTTTTTTTTGGTGAACTGTAAATATATATATAGTAACCAAAAGTTACGTACATCATTGCAAAATTAGAGGCATATCCAAGTATGGATATCCTATACATCAATTGCTATACTAGCAAAACTCTAGATCAGATATCTAGCCAAAAATGTAGCAAAACAGCCAGCCATCAAGCCGTGACAAAAAACCTTCAAAAATGCAGTACATTTTTTATTTATAAGTACCGGTAACCTTAATTAACCGACCCATCTATCTCGTCCTCGTTGCCCGACCCATCTACCTCCTCCTCGTTGCCAGACAAATCCTCCTCCCTCGTCGCTTGAGTGATGTTCCTCTTCCCCCTGTATTTCTCACGTCATGTATCTATCTTCTTTCATCTTCGTCTTACTGATTTTGTTCTGATTGTTTTTTTCGATTTTTATGTTGGCAGGAAAAATGAATCTGGATGCTTCTTGATCCTCATCGACAATATGTAGCAAAGGTTTAGATTCCACAATTAACTGTCACCACAATATAAAATCTGTTTTGAGAGTTGTTAAAAATTGACTTTGTAAGATTTTGATTATTTTTTATGATTTTATTATTAATTAAAACATTTCAAAAGTTATATTTAGGGAATTGTCCAAACACACACAAATAGTCTTGTTAGGGGAATTTAAAAAATATAGTCCTATTTGTGCATTTTACCACTTTTTAGTCCTATTTAGGGAATTGACTCTACTTTTTCCTTTAAAAAGGATCAACTCATTTAGAAAATGTTTGAGTGTATTTCTTATAACTGCCTTTGTTCTTTTAAAAAGAAGAAATAGATATTGAAATATTTGAATGAAAGTGCAGAAGTACTTTTAAGGCTTCAAATTGCTTTAGAAACGGATTTTCAGAAATTGAAAGGTCCCTCCATCCAGAAAAAACCTGCTCAGAAAACAACAACCTACCAAACACACACCCTTATTGTAAGTGAAAATAAAAAAGCAACGGACAACTGAGTTCTAAAAAAGAAAAAAGATCACTACAACAAAACAAGCCTTTGGCAACGGTTCCAAAATGTTACATTAGATCATTAAAGTGTTGCAAAAGACTAATGTAACACTTTTAAGGGCGTTACTTCAGGTCTCGTTGCATAAAGTCATATGCAACACTTTTATTCGTATTAGGCAACATTACACGAAAGTGTTACATAAATACTCCAAATGCAACACTATTTTGCAACACCTTGACTGGCACCGTAAGCAACACTTTTGAAAGAAAATGTAACACTTAAAAATGATTTAAGTAACACTTTGATTATATTTATGCAACATTTTATTATGTTCTTTTGCAACATAAATATCAACACTTTATGTAACAATTTGTTGACAATATACAACATTTATTATATACATTTATTTGCAACACTCTTTTATAATTACGTAACATATACTATCAGGGACACCTGAAATTCATACCCCCTAACTAGTTATGATTCAGCAAACTATATTTATAGATCAAGGGTAACACACTAACACTGTTATATTTCACAAAACACTTATAATATTATAAATAATCGTACATAAGTTCAAAGCAAAATTAAATCTAATACAACATCACAACGTATAAAAATTCAATCTTACATAATGACCGAAAGTTATCCAACTTTAGAAAAAGTAATCTAAACAATCAGACTAGATAATCTAAATTCGTTCTCACGTTACTAAATATACAGAAAAACATTCTGCTCCGATCCGTAGAGGGTAGCATCAACATTAACCAATCAGTATCTTCTCTAAATACTTGAACATCCTTTATTAGCATGCTTCTGCAAAATAATGAGAGTAATATAAATATCAAATCACTAATCTTATCAAAATTTAATGTTATTAAATCTAGACAACCAAAAAACTACCTCAGGAGATAAGACGTACTTCACACAAGAAATGGTTATGTTGTTAATAAGAGTTTCATACACATAAGCTTCACCGAGCAACTTAAAGGACGAAAATATATAACTCAGCTAAAAAAATACTGAATATATAATATATGCAATGTACATACCACATTGAAGTTCATACTCATTCAGAGAGAGGCGATCTCT